AGAGGCTGGGAGCCAGGACTCCTGGGTTCTCTCCCTGGCTCTGGGAGGGGAGTGGGGGCTGGTGGTTAGAGCAGGGGGGGCTGGGAGCCAGGACTCCTGGGTTCTCTCCCCGGCTCTGGGAGGGGAGTGGGGTCTGGTGGGTTAGAGCGGGGGGCTGGGAACCAGGACGCCTGGGTTCTCTCCCCAGCGGGGGGGGTCTGCCGGCTGGAGCGGGGGCTGGGTTCTCTGGCAGCAGGTTGTTTTTCTGGGGCGCGTCTCGCTGGCGGTGACGGATTGGGGGCACAGCCGCCTGCCTGTCACCCGGGAGCCTTTGAAGGGCCCTGACGCCGAAGTCGTGAGATTCCTGCTCCGCGCCCGTGGCTGGCACCAGACTCAGCCCCACACAGAGCAAGGGGGGGGCGGCTGCTGTGGGGGAGCAGAGAAGGGGACATGGGGCCTGTCACCTCTAAGGGGCGCCCGCCCTGATCCTGCCCCAGCGCAGGGGGCTGGTCCAACGGCCCTGAGCTCCCCTCCCCACCCGCCCTGCCGGTGCCCCTCACTCCCGACCCGCAGCCCCTGCCAGCCCGGCCCTGCCCCCCCCATGCTGCCGGTGCCCCCCACGCCCTGGCGCTCAGCCCATTTACTGAACAGCTCTTAGTATCGATTTGCTCTAAGTGCTGCGTGTTTCCCATGTGCTGATGAAGGGTTTGTTCGACACTGGCAACCCGGGCACGCGGGGGTGGGGAGTCGGGTGAGTCCCACAGAGCTGGGGGGGCCCAGGACCGGGCTAGCAGGGGCTGTGGGTCGGGAGTGAGGGGCACCGGCAGAGCTGGGGGGGGGGCAGGGCCGGGCCAGGCTGGCAGGGGGTTGCGGGGGGAGTGAGGGGCACCGGGCTGGGGGCTGCGGGTCGGGAGTGAGGGGCACCAGCAGAGCCGGGGGCTGCGGGTCGGGAGTGAGGGGCACCGGCGGCCGGGGGCTGCGGGTCGGGAGTGAGGGGCACTAAACCTGTGTGCTGATCCTGCTGGGACCCCTGGCTATGTCGGGTGTGGGCGGGGGCTGGGAGCCAGGACTCCTGGGTTCTCTCCCTGGTTCTCAGTCTGTGGACCCCTCCTCAGCTGCCTGGAGTTGTTGTGGGGGAGGGGTCCAGGGACTCCACCGCCCCCCCGTCTCAGGGCCCCAAATTCTCCCTCTGCTCTGGGTCCCCCTGTCCCCGCCCCATTGGTGCCCCCCCTCCAACCTCATCTCTGCCCCTTCGATCCCCCTGCTCCCCCTCCCCCTTCCGCCTCCCACCCCCCAGAGATCCGTCCATCCCCCACCCCCTATAGAAACATCCCCTATAGAGCTATCTCTTCCCCCGCATCCCACCCCCCCAGAGATCCATCCCCCACCCCCTATAGATCCCCCCCCTCCCCCCCCTCCTCTGGCAGCTGCCCCCCCCGCCCTGCCCCCACCCCCTGATCTGCCCCCCGCCCTGGCCCCGTATCCACCCCAAGGCTGGGGTGTCCCTGAGTCGAGTGGCCCCTCCTGACCCCCCCATCCCACACGGAGCATTTACTGTCCCCTGCGGGGGGGGGGGGGGGGGGGGGGGGGGGGTGGGGAAAGAAAAAACACCCCCCCCCCCCCCGCTGCTTGGCTAGGACTGCCCCCCTCCAGTGGGTCCCCCCCCAACCCACAAACCCCCACAGCCGGAGAGAGAACCCAGGAGCCCGGGCTCCCCCAGCTCTACTCACCAGGCACCAGGCCCCTCCCAGAGCCGGGGAGAGAACCCAGGAGTCCTGGCTCCCAGCCCCCCCTACTCTCACCAACTAAACCCCACTCCCCTCCCAGAGCCCGGGAGAGAACCCAGGCATCCGGGCTCCCAGCCCCCCTCCCCTCCCAGAGCCGGGAGAGAACCCAGGCGTCCGGGCTGAGGTGTCCAATCTGCGGTTCTTGATTTTCTGTCTCACATCTCGTCTCTCCTGCCCGCAGCGCCCTGAGACGCCCCCGGCTGCCGAGCCCTTCGGCCCCTTTGCCAAGAGCCAGCAGTGTGGGGGAGCCCGGGACCCCCCCATGCCTCGACAGGGGGCAGCCGAGACCGGGGGGTACCTGAGACCGTGACCAGGAGCGACTCGTTTCTCCCCCTAGACCCTGGCTCCGTTCCCCACAGCGACGCGGGCTGGGTGCTCGTGTTTCGGAGACGGCTGAGCCCCGGGCAGGTCCCCACGAGGGACCCACAGCTAGCAGAGCCCTGGGTCCTGAGACCTGCCCCGCCCTCCCTTGGACACAGCCACGTTTGGAGACGACCCCCCCTCCTGCCGGCGCCCCATCTCCTGGGTCCCAAGGCCACTGCCCGGGCACCTCCGGCTTTGGCACCCTCCCCGTTCCGAGCTGACGCCCCCTCCCTGCCCCGGCGACCCCCGCGCCCAGCCACCATGGCGGCCGGCGTGGCCACCTGGCTGCCCTTCGCCCGCGCGGCCGCCGTGGGCTGGCTGCCTTTGGCCAAGAAGCCGATCCCCAAACCGCCCAGCGACAAGCGACCCCGGGGCGACGAGATCCTGGTGGTGAACGTGAGCGGCCGGCGGTTCCAGACCTGGCAGAACACGCTGGACCGGTACCCGGACACGTTGCTGGGAAGCTCGGAGAAGGAGTTCTTCTACGACGAGGACAGCCAGGAGTATTTCTTCGACCGCGACCCCGAGATCTTCCGCCACGTCTTGAACTTCTACCGCACCGGCCACCTGCACTACCCCCGGCACGAGTGCATCCAGGCCTTCGACGAGGAGCTGAGCTTTTACGGCATCATCCCGGAGCTGATCGGGGACTGCTGCCTGGAGGAGTACCGCGACCGCAAGAAGGAGAACGCCGAGCGGCTGGCCGAGGACGAGGAAGCGGAGAGCGCCACCGACCTTTCCTTGCCGCCGGACAGCACCGTCCGCCAGCGGCTGTGGCGGGCCTTCGAGAACCCCCACACCAGCACGGTGGCCTTGGTCTTTTACTACGTCACCGGCTTCTTCATCGCCGTCTCGGTGATCGCCAACGTGGTGGAGACCATCCCCTGCCAGCCGCCGCCCGGCCGGAAGCGCCAGCAGCCCTGCGGCGACCGCTTCCCCTTGGCCTTCTCCTGCATGGACACGGCCTGCGTCCTCATCTTCACCGGCGAGTACTTGCTGCGGCTCTTCGCCGCCCCCAGCCGCTGCCGGTTCCTGCGCAGCGTCATGAGCATCATCGACGTGGTGGCCATCCTGCCCTACTACATCGGGCTGGTGATGCCGGAGAACGAGGACGTCAGCGGGGCCTTCGTCACCCTGCGGGTCTTCCGGGTCTTCCGCATCTTCAAGTTCTCCCGGCACTCGCAGGGCCTGCGGATCTTGGGCTACACGCTCAAGAGCTGCGCCTCGGAGCTGGGCTTCCTCCTCTTCTCCCTGACCATGGCCATCATCATCTTCGCCACCGTCATGTTCTACGCCGAGAAAGGGACCCGCAGCACCAACTTCACCAGCATCCCGGCCGCCTTCTGGTACACCATCGTCACCATGACCACGCTGGGGTGAGTGCGCCCTTCGCCCCCCGCTCTGCTCTGGTATTGGAGGGGCTCCCGGGACCCCGCGGGGAACGCCTCTCCGGCTGGGCCCTGGCCGAGAGCCGGGCGCGGCGGAACGCAGCCCGCCATCTTGATGGCTTTGTTCCCGGGCGTTTGAGTGATTGACTCTGGAGTCCGGGCCCGGACTCTACCGTGGCCAGGAAATGTGGGGTGCGGCGGGTCCGAGGGGCACCAGCATTGCTCTTCTTGGGCCTCCTGGGAGCAGAGTGTGAATCCAACCCGGGCAATTCCCACGTGCATCGGATTCGGGACAGGCTGGGAAAGGGCTGAAGTGGGTGTGGGGGAGGGGTTGGGAGCCAGGACTCCTGGGTTCTCTCCCCGGCTCTGGGAGGGGAGT